GCCAACGGGACTCAATTCCTGGAGCTCGAACCCGACACCTCTAGTTAACTCTTTGGTGGGCAGAGTTACCCGATACCTTTGCTGTGAAAGGTAGCAGGTACTCGGTGGGATAGTAAGGTGTGGACAAGTTGGCCTGGACACCACTGCCATTGAAAAAAAAGATAGATGAGTTAGAATTTCGAATTAGTACTTGAATTCTATTGTATTTGTTAGTTTCATTGTATAAATAGTAGTAAATAATCCTAATCCCATATGTACATATGTATTAGCAGTAGGACATGTATTGTATATATAGGGCTCATTGTATCATTATCATTATCAATCAATAAGATTTTTCTCCCGTGCATTCTCACATGGTATCAGAGCAATCATGAGATATTTATTGCTGTGCATAAATTCCAGCGACTCCGGGAAGAAAGGAAAAAAAAATATAGCCTTTTTCCGGCAAAACAGTACTGTCCGTAGAAAAAGTTCATATCCATTAGCGCTGCGCAAAAAACCAACACCACCACGAGATAGATCATCTTCCGGCGACCAAACCCTAAAAATTTCTCCGGCAGAAACCCTTCCATGCGCCCTCACGCGCCGCCGGGAGAATATTTTCCGGCAAGTCTCCGACCTGACGCGCCGGCGCGTGAGGCTTCTTCCGGCCATTTTTTGGCTGAGCTTCTTCAGCACAGCCTGGTCGAACAGCAATTCCGAGTCCATTGGTACTATTTCCGACATATTTCGACAACTTTGGAATTTTCCGGCGAGCTACAGTGATTTTTCCGGCGTGAACAGTGATCTCCAGCAATTTTTTGCTTTTTCCGGCATGATATTATAATGGAATTTGTACACTCACAATCCGTTGGATTAAATGCAATAAATCCAATCCATATTGTTTCTTTACCTGAATATATTGAGTTGCTTCAGTACAAAGCACGTAAACATACATCTTTTGGATTAACCTCCGTTGTTCCAACAAATAGTAGCATGACTGGTGTCTCCCAATCTTCACCTTCTGAGTCTTGGGTTATTGATTTAGGTGCATCTGATCATATTTCTGGTAACAAATCTCTTTTCACTAGTATCTCATATTCTCAATCTCTTCCAACAGTCACAATGGCCAATGGGTCTCAAGCCAT